CCGGTTCGTCGGGTCTGTTGCAAGTGACGTCGGAGAACATGTCGCCATTGCAGAAAAATAGCCGCTGCAAGCCAAATTTTCAGGATGCTGGTTCTGAGGTCGTACCACCGTCGGGTCGCTGTTGGAATGACTCGCCGCCGCTGCTCGCCTTGAGAAACACCGCCGGAAACTCTACTGTGGTGGGGCGTCGTTCGTGTGGCTCGGTCGCCGGAGAGGACTTGCTGGAGAAGAAGAAGCAAGGGAAGGGGGCGGCAGCTCCAAACGAGAGGAAGAAGATGAAGAAAGGAAAAATAAAAAGAAAAAGAAGAAGAAAAAAAAACAAAATAGATTTAGGGTTTTTTTTCTTTATTTTGTTTTAAAACCAATAGCCCAATTCCCAAATCTTAATGAGACCCAACTAAAACTACAATGGTCCAAAACAAAAGCCCAATAATTATGCTTTAGAAATAAAATAAACCCCACAACAACCCAAAATAAAATAGTTAACTTAAACTCTAAAACCCAAGAATAATAATTCAAAGAAAAGTAGAATTTAGGAAGGAAAATCCTAAAACTCGTGAATTTAGAATTTAACTAAAAATCTCCTACACAGGTCGAGAACTTAAATTATCTTAATCCAAAGAAATTAAACTTAATTCTAATTTAGCCAAAAATTAGAATTTCAAAGTTAGAAAATCCAAGAATTAAAATTATCAACTTAGGGAAAAAATCCAAAGACACTATTTATCTCTTAAAATAAACGAGTCAGAGAACGCGGGGCGTTACAGGGGATAGCAGAGATGAGGGAGTCTGTATCAGTGTCGAAATCGAGGGTTTGAGAAAAAAGTGTTCACGAATTATTTTTAGAATCGAGGGTTTCAAAAATCTCTAAATCGAACAAAGGTGAGGGATGGGACAGAGAGAGAATGAGATGAGGGATGGGAGAGAGAGAGGGAGATGATCAGGGATGGGGAGGCGATGGAGATGGGGAGAAGGGGAGGGAGATGGGGGAAAGAGGGAGGAGAGGWTGAAACTTCAAATCCTAAAATTAATGATAAACCCTAAAGTATATGTATATGTATATTTTTCCTTTTTTTTAGCGGTGGGTTCGGTTCGGTTTGGGTTGAACCGACCAAAAGTTTTCCTAAACCGAGAACCAAACCAAATTTTTGGTTCTAGAAAAAAGTAACCCATCCCAACACAAATTTTTTTCAACCCTCGGGTTGGGTTGGGTTTGTCGGATTCGTCGAGTTGTCGGGTTTTCTGAACACTCCTACCATTCACAAAAGGGTAAAATTCATAAATAATGTAATTTAAAAAAATTGAGTAGTTTTTAAGGTAATAATAAATAAATTATTTTAAAATTATGATATATATGTAAACTATTGATAAAAATAGGTTGGGGTCAAAGTCAAAAATCGTTTATGTCTCACACTATTGAGTAAATCCACATATGAATAGAAGTTCAAAGAAATTATGTATATTATTGATTTACACCACGTTGTTTCAACCATATTTTTTAGACTAAAAATTAAATCCACATGTGAATAGAAGTTGAAGGAAATTATGTAGATCATTGATTTACACCATGTTGTCTGTTGATGCAGAAATTTGGCCTCCTAGGATTCCGTCAAATCCGCACCAATCTTCTAGAATAAAAGAGATCGACAAGGCCTGGAAAATGGTAGAGTACTAAAGACCGGTGTGGCTCTCGCCACACAGGCTCCGATGCTTAAGTCAGAATCGGAGAAGTCGAGTATGAAGAGTTGGGTATTTTGGCATAGTCAATAGTAGAGATTAGTAGCGTAGTAAAGAGTAGGGTCTTTAGGCGTACAGTTAGCTTTAACTGTTTAGGTTTTTGCCTTGGGATCT